TCTGCAGTTCTTTGATATTATCTTTGTGCATAACTGAATCATCCTCAAATCTCTCTCTACATGGACTGAAGGGCTCTGATTGTGCTCTAGGTTTTATGGGAGATTTGGCAGAACCAACACTACCTCTGCAATATCAGAGTAAAATAGATGGCCTAGTCACAAAGGTAATAATCGTCATGTACTGTTTCTACAGAGAAACAGGTTACTTCCTATTTGGGAGAAGGGAGAAAGTGCATGGAAAGGTCTGATTCTTTCCCCCAGAAAAGTTATATTTAAATAAAACCAGGAATATTTAATTTATATTTACATATTACTTTAATTCCTATTACAAACAAAAAAAAATAATTTAAGCAGGGCATTTCAGCACAAGAATTGAGAAACAGACACATTTTATTTCAGCAGCAAAGACTATTTTTACATGCTAAGGTTAAAGACCTACAGTGTGAAGCTGCTGAATAAATTCTCCAAGTAGCTGAATCCTAACAGATGTGGTTTATTTAAATAATATATTTTTCTCTCTAATTAATGTGGGAATTCCCCTGTGTTAAAATGTCAAGATGATCAATTAATAGCTCATGGGTGCTGATGGGATGTGTGGAACAAAAAATATTTAAGGTGGAACATTTCTGTAAATGCTAGAGGCATTCTTGTCTGAGAGCCAGCAACATGATATCCTGTCTTGAGTTACTGATTTCATAATGTCTGAATATTGAAGTGAGACCAGGCTTCTATATTTGAACATTCCAGGGGCTCCAGCGTAAAAAGTCTGGATTCCCTTATTCCTGAAAATTTGTAGAGAAGTTTTCACTAGTAGATTCTCTTTGTATTCACCTGGTTATGCATATTGACCAGATCAGAGCTTAGGTTTGAAAGATAATTAGTGAATAAGTAATTCCCATTTAAGAAATACAAAACAAAACCATTCTCCTTAACATCTCAGGAGCAGTTTTTTAGAACTCCTGCTTTAACAGAGGTTTGCATTTCACATCATATGGTATGGTGTGCAGCACACCCACTACCTAAAGCAGGAGCAGTACATCTTACTTTCACCACTTCTTCCAGACTAATCCGATTCCTCGTCTCCTAGAAGCTGCAGTAGATTGTCAAAGCAATAGGCTTCTTTCCATGTTGTGGTCAGTCTAGACCAACTGACTTGTTATCCACTATTATTCTCCATGTGCAGATGCAAATTTGGAAGTCCACAAATTTGTTACTTCAGGTTTATGCTGTACTACAAACAACTCAAAGGAACTTGCTCACAAACTCCAAAAACAAATCTCACTAAGTAGACCAACTAATTATCATACAAAGTAAAGCATTTAATTTTGTAAAGTCGTTTGCATCTTAATGTGGCCAGTATTATTTCTAGGGCAATTATGAAAAAATAAGACTTCCACCAACTGACCAGCTACATTTCATTTTTTTGACAAGGCACTAAATATTGTGAATCCAATCACTGTGCTCTCTCTGTTAGATTAGAGAGGTTTTTAATGGCTCTAATAGGATCAGAAACCACTCATCACAATTCTTCAAACAAGCATTTGATTTTTCCAGAAATTAGTTTCCACTGGAAAAAATCTCTAGAGTTAATGTTAAAAATATTTGAATGACAGCTTTTATTAATAGAAAAATATATATTTACAGTCAATACTGCTATCTTAGATTTGCAGCTCTCCCTATTTCTTGAGCTCAACTGAAAGTGCGACATTGCTAAAAAAAACAAAAAATAATTGAAGATCTGTGCACGTATTCAAGTATATACCATGCACAACCAGGGGTTTTGTTCCTGTCATACACAAGATCCTAGATACAGACAGAGCGGGTTTTTTTCCTTTTGCTTAGCAATTATGCTGTAGCATTCTTAGGATTTGCTTACAATCAAGTTTAATGCATACATTCTCAGATATTTATGTGGCACAATCTGTTGCCAGGATGGAGAATCACCACAAACACAGTTACAGTCATCAGTTACGGGCATATCTGCAAAGTCAGCCTAAGGCTCCCCAAGGAATAGCTCAGGCCAGATTTTGTTTGACTACTTTTACCATTCTTTTTAAAAGAAAAGAAACACACAACATTGCAAATTGCTAAAGTTTACCCAGTGCTGCACAAGAAAGAGATTGGTAGTGAACATCTATCCATGCTTGATTACACTGCAGAGCTAAAATGAGTATTGGTTCATCACAAAAGATACAAACTGAAATTAGACAGCTAGAGATACAAAGGCTTTGGACCAGCTGTGTTAAATATGTATGGTTTTAAAACATTCAAAATTCAACTTTTCATGTGCGTGTTGACATGAAAGTGACATTGAGAACACGTGTCCATGAACACGGAACCACCTACCAGCTTCAAGAAGTGAGCCCACTGCCATGGCAAGTGGTCCAAAACTGCTTGTACAGCCTATGTGAGTTAGGTGAGAAGGTATGTGCTCACATGCACTACGAAACACAAAACCAGACCACAGAGAACAAGAAGCCTTATTTGTAGCTCAACAATTGTGACTAATAGCTAGCTAGCAGATAGTACGTGAGTGACTTGTCATGCTCGGTGTATTTAATCTATGAGAGCATGGCCCTCCTGTGTCCAGATAAAGCAGGGCTGCATTGAATGTGTGATTCTTTGTAAAGGTTCTTCTACGAGCTGCTCAGCAGTAGTGTAGACACTTTCTTTCCTGATGTAGTGGAAGTACCTCAACTACATACATTGCACTTGAGCTTTTAATGCATTGTCCTCTTTCTGCAATGCCAGCATCCTAACCTTTTTGCCAAAAAGAGAAGAAAAAAATTATATCACATTAAAATATATTATCCTTATCCTTGCCTGATCCTTCACTGATACAGGTGAATCAAACACAAGAATAATAATCAGAAGTTTCAAAAAAATCTTTAGAAAGGTCACAAAGACAGTCCATATACTACAGCACAATCAATGTAGGCTTCCACACTATTCAGCGTAGCTCTGATAGATGCCAGAGAAGAATATAGACATTTCAACCCCTCCAAATGTACGGCATGGATCCAGAGCTAGTTTTGCTGACTTTAAGCCTGCAGGACTGTTTGTTCAGTTTCCATGCATCTGGTCCAAGCATGCATACGCTGTATAAAGTGGCTGTTTGTTTCAAGGCTGAAGTGAATTGATTCCTCACAGTTTTAACAATTAAAATGAAACATCAATCCATAAAAAGAACACAGGGGTATCTGTGCGTTTATGTGCCAGGGAGATAAAGGAAAGGGCTGCAGATTTAGCATCAGGTAAAGGCTGGTGTGTAAAGTGAACACTGTAATGTACAGCTTTAATAATACATACAAGAATTGCACATAGATCCATAGGAAAGAAGCACAGGCTCATAACTAGGGCTGTCTGCTTTCCGTCACCCGGGTTAGAATATCCGGTATCTCTTTTTCCCTGCATCCAGATCAATACTTCAGAGTGATTCAGGAAACAATTCAGAGCCTAGCAATACTGAGCAAAGATACTGCCTGTACAGCTCCAAAGTTCCATAGGAAATAGCTGTTAGGTCAGGGAAGGAAGTCAGCAATGGACTCTAAAAGTGAAAAGCTCCTTCAGGTTGAGTTTTAAAAAAATTTCTCTCTTTAATACTTACTAATTCCCTGCTGTAGTCCAAAACTCTGTTTGCTATGCTCTTTGAGCTGTTCTTACAACATTCCATCTTTAGGGCGTTGACTATAGCAACATTAGAAAACACTAGTTACAGCAGACAAGATAGGCAGCCAAACACCGCTGTGGGAAAAATGGATCACGATACTGTTAGTTGTGGCTGCCAAACTTAACAGCTCCCTTGGTAATTAAACAACTGTGTTTTTGCCCCCTTGTTTCTACCCTTCAGAGAGCTGTGTCTGCAGTAAAAGCATCTCCATGTGGCCTGTTAGCTACACACAGACAAGCTCTAAACATATCTATCTCCTGCCAACATACCAACAGAGCCAATTTCAGTCCCACTTTGCAATATGGCACAAGTGACAAGAGCAAACACACACACAAAAAAAAAAGAGGTGGCTGTTATTTTCATCCCCGATTCATAGCAGTGATTGTCAGAGAAGGTTATGAATGTCTTACCCACTTCAAGTAAGGCTTTAGTGCCTTTTGTGATGGAAGGGGAATGTCAGTTGCCCACCATGTGTTGTTTTGTTCTCGTATAAAGGTGGTTATAGCTAGAGTGCACCAATAGTCCAGACTAGTGAATGCCATGTAGGAAATGGGATAGACAAACTGTGCATATTCTGCTTCTTATTCCAGAGGACTTAAGCTAAGGGTAATAGTCTGATTAAGGCAGAAAGGATATGGGTAGGCAATGAGTCAGAGGCAGAGAAGGAGGGAAGAGGACTGAACACAGATGCTTGCTGCCCACTGATACTTGCCACAGTCAGCAGGATAACCACATCTGGGGAGGGAAAAAAAGAAGGCATAAAGTGTAAAAGAAAGACCAGAATTTGTTTGGTTGAGACCAAAGGAAAGAGGAGTCCAGCTCGCTTGTGGGGGACTAAGCTGAGATAAAATTTTGTGTGGTGTGTGGAACATAGGCAAATGAGTGTTTTGTGGCATGGTGAATCATTCCTCTCACACTGATAACTAAACCATCTCTGCTTATGGTCACTGCTATTCACTAACCAATGCTACATATGGAAATGACAGAAACTACCCAGAAGAGGAGGGCAATTTGTTTACTGCAGTGGTATAAATAGTGGTATCAAAGTTTGCTCTTCTTTTCAGCCAGATATTAATCAAGTTACATACTGTCTGATCCAAATACAGTCATGTACATCAATTCCTAAGATGTCTGGCAAAAAAGTGAAGTGTCTATCATATTGGGTACAGGATACAATTCCTCCTATTAGAATCTATTTGCTCAGAGTTGCTGGCTTTGATATCTAGGCTATTTTCTAACACTTGTACAAAGTGTGAGCCCTAGGGCAGGCTGGAGTGAGGGCTGGGGTGGAGGTGGGGGGTGCTTCATGAAAAGCAACAGGCTCTGCAAACTAGTGCTGCTGCATGATTCTCACAATGCGATGAAGTGAGTCTACAGTGGCAAAAGCCAGATACTGACAACAAAGCCAGTCTTCCAGAATAACTCCACAGTCCCTATCAAAGGACTTCTCTGCAAACTTGATCATCAGCAGCGTCCTTTTTATATCCAGCCAGTTCTGAAGTACAGCATCTCTCCGCGAGGGGTTGGAAGATGTACTCAGAGCATGGAACAAGTCCTCACGTGGACCCCAAAGCAAACACTGAAGGATTCCCTTGGCTTCTGATATTAGGATCCTCTCTGAAGGGTTGGGATTCAGCAGGCAGCTGGCAAGCTGTTGAAGCCCTTGAGAGTAGAGAGAACGGCAAGGAATCTTGGGGAGATCAGCACGAGTATACTCCTTCTCTTTCAGCTCTGGATTCTCATCAAAGGGATTGGGTAAGTGCAGCATTTCATAGATAAGGATACCAGTTTGGAACTCATCACACTTTTTGTACTGTGTTGCAGTGATGATTTCTGGAGCCAGGCGGGACTGATCCCGTAGGACCTCAGGATCCACCATATGACTCTTCTGCTTGGCCTGGGAGAAATTGCTCACTATTAATCTGGCTGGACAAGCAGTGCTGGGACTGGGCTCCGTGGACTCAGGGCTCAGAGGGCTGCCTCCTGGTCTGGAATGAACCAGCAGCAGGTTCTCTAAACGCAGATCACAGTGTGTGATATGATAGGGTTTCAGGTGTTCCAGGCCCAAACACAGCTGTAGAAGGAGCAGACAGACTTGCCTCTCATACAAATCCGGGCTTTTTGCATGGCGAGATGCAGATTCCCGCACAAAATCAGCCACTGTTAAGTACGGAACCTCCCGTGTGATGACCACGACACGGCTGCGTGGCTTGCTGATAGTGCCTGAGCTGTCTTTCTGTGAAGCCTCTGTATTGGAAAGAGTATCTCTGTTCTTCTGCTCAGGCTCTTTCTCCTCTTCTTCCTCCATCTCTGGTGCATCAGCATCCTCCCATGGAAGGAGACGCACTGGCACTTCAGCAAGAAAATGGCCGCAGTCCTGTTGGATGTTAAAGTTGATAGCCAGACTCTGCCGAATAGACAGGCTGTGATAATACTGCTGGGATTCCTTTGCTTTGCTCTTACAAATCTGGGGGAACAAAATAAACAAAAGAGACATAACTTAAATTTGTAAATTCTATATATATTTTTTTTATTTATTTTTTCATTTTGCATTTTGTTGATAGACAGTCTAGCCCTGAACACAAGCACTGAAAATTTTTTTGCTGAACTGACCTTGGCAGACTTTCTTAAAGCACAGGAACAGTTTCCACTGGATAGTAAATAACAGTGAGACTGTTGGTTGATGAGAAGCTCAACATGAGCTGGCAGCCCAGAAAGCCAACCATGTCCTGGGCTGCATCACAAGCAGCATGGCCAGCAGGTCAAGGGAGGGGGTTCTCCCCCTCCATTCCACTCCTATGACACTCCACCTGGAGTCCAGCTCTGGAGTCCCCGACATAGAGCTATTGGAGGAAGCCCAGAGGAGGCCATGAAGATGATCAGGGGGCTGGAGCAGGTCTGCTATGTAGCCAGGCTGAAATAGTTGGGGTTGTTCAACCTGGAGAAGAGAAGGCTCCAGGGAGAACATAGCGCACCTTCCAGTGCCTGAAGGGGCTCCAGGAAAGCTGGGGAGGGACTTCGGACAAGGACATAGAGTAAGAGGATAAGGAGGGATGGATGAAAACTGGAAGAGGGGAGATTTAGGTTAGACATGAGGAAGAAATTCTTGAGTGTGAAGGTGGTGAGACACTGGCACAGGTTGCCCAGAGAAGCTGTGGCTGCCCTATCCCTGGAAGTGTTGAAGGGCAAGTCAATTGGGGCTTGGAACAATCTGGTCTAGTGGGAGGTGTCCCTGCCTGTGCAGGGGGGTTGGAACTAGATGAACTTTGAGGTCCCTTCCAACCTGAACCATTCTGTGATTCTATGAACTGCAAACCAGTATGTACAGGCAGCACCCCTGTGCTTATATTATTCAATGGAAAACAGTTCAGGCAGGTTGCTCTTTTAGTCTGAATAGTAGCTGATATAAGGTAAATGCTCAGTGAAGCTCACTTTACAGTTGTTTATCCATATTATTTGATTTCGTGTTCTTCTCTTAACTTTGTGTGAAGCTTGAACAAGATAAAAATAATCAATAGTAATAGGAAATACAATGAAATATGCATAGAATATTGGAGGATATGACTGAATAATTGCTCATGGCTGAGTTAGCATGGCATAACTACTAGGCTGACAGGTGGTAACTTAAGTGACTGGATGCATTGTCCTTCCCCACTGTAAATGGAAACTGAAATCTATTAGCTGCTGCTTTGGTGAGCTAACACATCATGTCTACCCTGAGGGGTGTATGTGTGCATGGCAGGGGCTGTTGGCAAGCATACTTGCTGTGGTTTGGATGATGAATGAAAACTCATTAGAACATGGTACCTTAATTGCTTTCAGTCATTTGCCAGGATCCTAAGTGTATGTTTTTATTTTGCCATATAAAGCTGTATTTAATTTGTGTCCAGAAATATGCTGTTGATAGGTACATTACCACCAGAATAATTATCCTTATTAATTGTTTGCACTGCTGTAACAACTGGCAGCTCCAACCCCCTTACAACAGTCACTGGACAAACTCTATTAGGGCATTTACTGATGAAAATTACAGCCCTACAAAGACTCAGGCATGTTGACCTTGGCATATTAACATTAGTTCTACTAACTTCTGTGGGATCTTTTAAAGTATGTAAGGTTAGGTGCATGTTTTAATCTTTATGAGGTTAAAGCCTAAGTATTCAGTTGGTATAATGCACCAGCAAACCTTAACCCAAAGCTCAGAAGAGGAAATAGGAAGACATCTGTCTTTAGATGAAATGACAGCTTCCCTTAGGTCATCTCTGAATGCCAAGGAAAGCCAGATAAGTAAGGTTAGTAAAAATTAGCACTAGTTCTACAGAGTCACAACAGCCAAGGAGCCAAGATGTCAGCCTAGTCTGAAATGTTCTTTATCTTTTATGTGCTTATGCGATTAAGCAACATATAGTTTAATGGGGGATTTAGTCTTCATGCTTGTTGATCAGAAAAGTGCATTGTGAGGTAATCATATGGAAGAACATAGAAGTAGAAACAGCATTTTGATTGTCCTCCTGTCTCTAATACTGTGCATATTTCCATACTTTACAAGCATGTAAACTTCCCTACGTATTAATTACATAGCTTAAACTACCCGTTTGTAACTGCCATGCACAAACAAAACAAATTTGAAAAATGCATTTTCTAGTCAACTTTATTTAATAGAGAAAAGCCATACTTTTCTGGAAATATTTAGTTACCCCCTTTGTACAGTGGTTTTTGCTAATTTAAATTTTCAAATGTATTTTATACTCTTAGAGGTGAAGTTAGGTACCAATGTAAAGTGTTCCCCCCCTTCTTTCAAGGGTTACAAAAGTGTAAACAAAGACAGCCTTAACCTTTGAACTGTATACGAAAAGAAAATGTCAGCTGCTTATCTAGGAGACTGCAGTCCTCAGATCTATTAAATACTTAATACTGCACAGAAGACAGGAGTAGAAAAGGGTTGCATAGACCCTACCAGCATGAATCAAATCTGACTAGGAGAACAGCTATTAGGAAAACAAGAATAGCTTTGTCTTCTATGCCCTTCAAATCCATGGCCTTTTTTCTTGTACAGCCAGCCAATTCCAACTGCAGAAAAGGTTCAGAGTGTTGTAATCCAGCCTTTAGTTATTAAAAATACTTAACTGACCTAATCCAAAATATAACTTTGTTCTGAAAGAGCTTAATTTTAAGGTCAAGACTACTCATTGATAAGAAAAGTGTGAAAAAGCATTTGCCTTTAGCTATTATACTATATTTCTTGTTACCCACAGAGGATTTCTCACACCAACTAGCAGCTAAGAATGATACAATTATATAATTCACAGAATATTTGTTCTTAAAACAATTACTTACTCTTAATTAGGTGAATACAAGGCCTTTAAAAAAGTTTATGAGAAGAATTTCTCCTTGTTTATAGAAAAAGAAAAGCTAAGGAATCTAGACTTATTCATAGCTTCTAATTTTAATCCTAGGCAGCCTCTTTTTCTTACTTCAGAAAAGGGCTCTCAAATTTATTACTGGAATTTCAGTTAAAATAATAGGAGATAGGCTTTGTACCTAAAAATCAGCCTTGGTTCACTCATTTTAGAAAATACTGCCAATCCTAGAATTGTGATAGTACAGCAGTACACTGTCATTAGCCTCTGCAGATGCGCTAATGCTTCCTTCTAATTTAGAAACGACTGGCTCTGCACATCTGCACCAAAGGCATCCAGCTGTTGGGGCAGAGTACACTGCCTTTGCACCCATTCCATTTTTCCCTGAGCCAGCAGAACTGGCCTGCAAGGCAAATGTTATCTGTACATTGCCAGCTGGATCATTCCTAAGAAATGCCTTTCCAAACTACTAGAACCACCCCAAAAAAGAGTTGTCCTTCTCCATCTTCTTCCTCTCTTCCTGCTATTCAACCCTAATTCCATTTTACTTCAAATTAACTGACAGCCATTCTCTTAGCTGTTTTTTAAAAATATGTATTCCCATTCTTTAACATTACACCTTCACACTTGGGAACACAGCACTTTTCCCCTCTTCATTATTTTCTTGTCAAAATAACCAGCCCTCATTCCTCCTATCTTTATTCCTAAAGAACCTTCCCTGGATTATCTGCTCTCTTCTGGATTATCCCTATTTATTTTATCTTTCTGCAGACTGGTACCCTGTAACAAATACAGTGAACAAGTCACATAATTAACTCAATTGTTATGTGGTTCATGAAAACTTTCAGAGCAGAGTCCACACAAATGTCTGAATCCACAGCAGACCCAGACTTTCTCCAATGTCAGTTCTTAAATGAACAACAAAACATAAATTAAAGACTAAGTAGTATTATGATTAAAATAAATACTAAAATAACTGCATTTGTGAAAACTTTTCCTCTCCTTATTCTGCATGCAATATCCACAAAGACAAGAGCAGAGATCTGATTAGAGATGTATTTCCTGCTTCTTGCTTTTTGTTTACAAGCAACATGAACTGAGAAGTGGAAGAGGCAGCTGGTTTATTTAAGAGCGATTACACTGCAGACTATTCAAACACTGTAATTTGTACACTAGATACTTTGTAATTGCCAAGGGGAACGGAGCACTAGGGCTGTCTAGAAGCAGCACCCAAAGAACTGGAGAATGATGACAAAGGAGACACCTGTCTGAGTTCATAGAACAGTTTCTAAAAGAGAGACCAGCAGTAATCTGATGCTCCTATAAGCATCTGGCTGCTTCTCAGACTTCTACTTGTGAAATACAGCTGCATGAGTCCAGATAAGTACTGGGGTTTTAGACTGCAGAGTTCAGATTCTAATTTATCATTATCTTACTAGAATGGGGACAGTATACTGAAAGCAGTGGAGACAAAGTAAGTTTTCTTACTGATCTTTTCAAAGACAGTTTAGAGAACGTAAATTTTATTTACTGAGAAACTCATACTCTTTCATCATTTTCTGAGTTTCAGCTTCTACTCAGAACACTTAGGTTATCATTTTACAACAGAGTAGTGAATGCTAGAACACTATTAATGGGTAATAATGCTCACTCTAGCATTTTATATTGGAATAATTCCATTATCACCTAAAACTATCATCTGAATGACTAAGATTTAAATTTTCCAGATGGTTTGAATTATAGTAAGTTATACAATGACAGTCTGTATTTACAATTGAAAAGATTTAGGGAACAAATAGTGAAATTTGATGGCCTCATTAGCAGGTCTTTTGGATGGCTAGTCATGACTTGCTAAAGGAGTGGATATAGATTTTTTTTCCTTTGTGACAACTATGACTATGTCAAAACAGTGAGTAAATACATGGCCCAGTTTTCTTGGCACAATTTTTAAAGCTTTTATCTGTTTCAGTCATTTATTCTAAAAAAAAATAAGGAAATCTCATTGTGTTTACATACATAGTATGTTGGATTCCAATTTTTGGGCAGAGGAAAGGAAAAAGGTGAAAATAGTTTGTCTAAAGAACCAGCAGAAAGTAGGATGAATCAGTCATTTACCATTTGCTGTAATGAAATACAATCAGCTAAGCAATGAAGATATGGTATGTGATAATACCAGAAAGAAAGGTGTTGACAAGGGCTTGGCAAGCCTTACTTCTAAAGCTGATAAAAAGCTGGCTGTTCAAAAGATGAAGCAATGTTGGTTAAAAGCCCTTCCATATGATGCAAGAAAGCAACGAGAAAAAAGAAAAGATATGAGTAGGGAGGAACAGAAAGTTTCCATCTTCCTTTCCCCTGGAATGCACTGTCATCATGTATTTTTCTTTAGTGCATCCATACCAACTAAGCTGTCATATTTATAAGGACAAGAACAGGTTTCTTTATATCCTGTAATTTCAGTTTTCTCCTTTCCCTATTCCCAAGAACCAAGACTGTAATGTTTCAGAGTTTCTAAAAACTGTTCTGCATTAGCTTTTTATTTTTCCTTTAATGGTCCAGTAGCCTACTGTGCCATCAGCTGACTTCCACTTTGCCAGCAGGAAATCTCATTTCCACTCTGTCCTATGCATTTTACAGGGCGTCAGTGAACTTAAAGTACAACTAATATTGTGGGAAATGAATTTACAAGTGCTGAAAATGAGAAACACAGAAGATCACAAAGACTGCACCATCTGTGCTACATTTCTGCATTGCACAGAGGGACAACTGCAAATGAAATTCTGTGCAGAATGAAAGCTTGCTAATCCCAAATTGATAGCTTGTTCTTGGGACAACGTTGCTTCCCAAGGAGGCCAGTTTGATCTCTGATTGACCTCATTTTCTTGATCTAACCTTAGAATAAAGCTTTGACTTTTTAGCGATGTGCAGAAATACAGAATTCTATGCTGCTCCGACTGAACTCGGAACGGGCTTCAAGTTTATCATAAATAGCTTGATTCTGATCTGGACCATGAAGTTCTGGGATGACCTGTAGTAACACTTCTGCCAAGGAGCACCACAAGGAAACTGAATTATCAAAACCACCACCATAGCACACTGCAACAAACTAAACATAACTAGAAATAATTGGCAACTAGGAAACTGTCAGCCAAATTCAGTCCAATACTATTTAGTTTTGCCTTGCTCTGCTTTATACTTGGGGCAGGAATCGTAGCAAAAAGCCTACAATTTTACTGCTGGAAGAACTTCTGCTGCCCTGTAGCAACCAATGCAATAAATTTTAATGGCTCTTTTTGAGTCGTTTCCACCTTTGCCATTCCTGTTATCCTACCTGAATGGCATTGCACCATGTGCCTGGGGCCAGAACACCCACGCTGCAGGCCCTGCTGGCTTTTTATATCTGAACTGTTCTGTGTGAACTCTGAATCCTGATTTCTGTGTGTCTATGATATTGTACAGCAATGTCCTTGAGAGCTTCATACAGAAAGTGGAAGTAGTTTACGTCACTGACACTGTAATTACCTTGTCTAACCATTATTCATTCTGAGTAATTTATTTTTTAATAAAAAAGATTACTGCCATATGACTGCTTTATTCAGTTTATGTGGGGATACTAAAAACTGAACTCATCCAGTCCACTTTGTACACTTTGCTCTCTGCCGCTTCTAATTCAGTGTAACCTTTCCACTACATATTTGGAATTACTGATAAGACTGTGGTTTGAAAGGAATGTTTATCCATGTTGTCCCAGATCTATCAACTGCTTGAAAGATGGTACTGCACTGAGTGAAGGAAAAATACCTCAGGGTCTGGAAATTTATGGAAAACCTTCTTGTAAATGAACTTTTCTTTTTTCCATTTGGAAAAGTAGTTTTCTGATCACGACTTATTTACTGTTTTTATTTATAATGTTTCAGTCAAAATAATTTCCACAAGGCTTCCTGCAGCTTTTTTTTTTTTTTTTGCACAGGATGTTTGCTAGCAGATTAGGTGAGAGTAAAGCAGAAAGCGTAATACAATGCTTTGAAACAACACACCCTTAAACAACGTTTCCACTAATATCCACACCAACAGAACCAGTTGTGCTTGCTCTTCACCATATTTATCACAGCATCTTTCGCTGGTGATACCTCCAGAATATAAAAGTGCCCTTCTGCACAAAAAATTCATTATTCTAAATTTAATTCAGCAGTAGTCAAATGGTTAAAGCTTAATTTTTATCAGCACTTTTGTAATTCTACTTTTGGAGATACAGTATTAAAATGCCAATTTTTTTTACTTATGCATTAAGACTCAACACCGCTCAGGGAGTAAACCTCTTCTTTTCTACAAAGAGAATAATAATTAAAAAATCCCACTGACACTTTTTCTCTCAAATCTAATATTAAACCATAGAACTTAACAAGTATCTGAGTTGTTAGCCCATGTTGCTTGGCTAGTTCTACAAAACTCAAAAGAGCTACAGAAATTTACACTGTCCAAAGATGTGGCCATATATACATTTTCACAGTGTACTTCTAAGACTTGATAAAAATAACAGGAACTCCATATTTTGGATTCAACAGGCACTCAGTAATTTCAATCTCACCATTTTTGCCATCCTGTTTTGGGGACAAGGGATTTCAAACAGCAGG